TTCCCTTTCACCTTCAAAGGGCAAGATCTGGCAGGCATTGACAACCTTTCGTAAATACACAGTGATATCAGAAAATTATCTTTCCATTTATCTTTTTCAAAGAATTTGTCTTCTATGTTTGTGAAAAGTTCTTTGTGGAAAGAGGTCCATATTTCATAGCACCTTTTCAGCCTTTCTGAAACTTCTGTCTAGGTATTTGCATGGAGTACGCCCAAACTTCTACCAACTTAATTTTATGTAGCTGAGTTATTTCAAAGAGGACCAAAATTCATTTCTAAGTGTTCTGAACAGTGTGCCCTTCCTAATGAGTGTGCTTGCTATGCAATGCTATTTGCAGGTTACCGAATGCAAATGTTAATCTGTTTCATCAGACAACAAATACCCTGTATGGTTCTACAGGTTAGGGAATATTAATCTGGTTGTGTTCAGTGTTCTGCAAACAATTGGGGCACCTCTTTGCACTAGGTAAGCTACTATTGAATAATCACTGGGCTTGGGTCAGTAGAAGGGCTGGAGGTTTGACTGTAAAAGGTTACAGGCTTGTTTGCTCTGTGTTTGCATTCCCTGAAAGGGAATATTTCAGTCTTTGAATTAAAAAAAAATAGTAGTGTTAGACTTTAGGTTCCATTACCACCCCTTGCAGTCCTGTTCTCTTCCAGCCCTATCCCTGCCTATCCATAGCTTGAAGAGTTGATTTTTGTCTCTTGTATTTATCCCTTTAGGATTCTTTGTACTGCTCCCTATTATTCTTTTTCCAAGACAGTAGTCTCTCCTCTCATCCCATAGTTTCATAGCTGTTAAGGTTGGAAAAGACTGCTGAAATTAATCTACTTTCCGTATAATGTATTCTGGAATTTTGCTTTTTCTCATATCTGTATTTTAGGAAGCAGTTTTGTGTAAGGACTCTGAGTGAAAGAGGACTCATCCTTTCAGCTTTTGGAGCTACTTGGCATGCTGTTTATGCCTGTGAGATGGGTGCTTTTCCAAATTGGGGGAGTTTGAGTGCTCTGTTTATATGTACTCAAGATACTGTTGGTGTTTCATTATCTTTGAATGTGATCTCTTTATGTCAGCACTGCTTGGTGCAGAAAGTCAGTTGTTACAGTCTGTTATTTCTGTTTGGCATTGTTGCAGATACATGTCCTCTTTGTAACTTGTTTTCTTTTGTTCCTAACAGTTTTAAGAACTTTGATTTGGAAGACTCTCAGAAGTGTGCAGTAGACTGGTTGATGATTGGCCCGTCTTCCAAGAGGGAGGAGTACAAAGTGTGTGGATCTTCCATACCTCCATCTTTCATCTCTGCAAGGGACCATGTTTGGATATTTTTTCACTCAGATGCATCAAGCTCAGGACAGGCTCAGGGATTTCGCCTTTCTTATATTAGAGGTAAAACCTTACAGTTTTGTTGGCTTCACTTATAGTCTCTCTGGCAAAACTTGAAGATGGTAGTATTTTTTTGTCGACAGGAGTCTTGGGCCAGTCTCAATGACTGTAAGGTGTTAGCATGGTAATGCTGATATTATTTCCACTTGGCTTTTTAACAGCATTCGAGAAGTGTACTGGCCTGACTGATTGACTTGTGACATGCAGGGTAGCAGATGTTAAAAAGAGACATCGGAGACTTCCAAAAGTTTTGATACTGACTTTTTTTTCTCCTTTCCCTCTTTCACAGGAAAGATAGGTCAGGCCGTATGCCAGTCAGATGAATTCCGTTGTGCAAATGGAAAGTGTATTCCCAGTACTTGGAAGTGTAATTCCATGGATGAGTGTGGTGATAACTCAGATGAGAGAAACTGCACTGTCCCTCCAACAGAGCCTCCGTCCAGCATCTGTCCCTCAGGAATGTTCCAGTGCAGCGCAGCCCACTCCACCAAGTGCTTGATGAATGAACTGAGATGTAATTCAGTTAAGGACTGCAGTGATGGTTCGGACGAAGATAATTGTCCTGATCTTTCCTGTGGCAAAAGGCTGGGTAATTTTTATGGATCTTTTGCTTCCCCAGACTTATTCCGTGCTGATCACAGCAGATCAGACCTTCGTTGCACATGGTACGTGGACACACAAGATAATCGACATGTTCTGTTGCAGCTTGATTTGCAGTTAGGCTACAATGACTACGTAAAGGTGTATGATGGTATTGGAGAGAGGGGTGATAAATTAATGCAAACATTTTCGTACCACAACAACAGGCATTCGGTGAGCGTGGAGTCATCAAAGGGCCAGCTCACTGTCTCATATCATGCCCGCTCCAAGAGTACTGGCCACGGGTTCAATGCAACCTATCAGGTGAAAGGCTATTGCCTTCCTTGGGAACATCCTTGTGGCAGCGATGAGGAGTGTTTCACAGATAAACAGCATTGTGATGGCTGGTGGCACTGTCCAAATGGCAAGGATGAGGAGAACTGTCCTGCTTGTCAGAAGAACGAATACCCATGTGAAGGAAACAGTGGACTCTGTTACTCAATACTTGACCGCTGTAATAACCAAAAGAACTGCCCAGATGGCTCGGATGAAAAAAACTGCTTTACTTGCCAGCCAGGAAACTTCCATTGTGGTACAAATCTGTGCATCTTTGAGACTTGGCGCTGTGACGGCCAAGAAGACTGCCAGGATGGAAGCGATGAACATAACTGTCTGGTGATCGTTCCCAGGAAGGTCATCACAGCTGCTCTGATTGGGAGTCTCGTGTGTGGCTTGCTGCTGGTAATAGCACTGGGCTGTGCATTTAAATTATATTCTCTAAGGACCAGGGAATACAGGTAAGAGTCTTGCTTTTATGATGCTTTAGTAGCTGTTGGGCTTTTTTTCTTTTTTGTTTAAAGGAAAAAAAAGTCGATTGTTAACCAGAGAATTTGCAAAATACTGTGAAATCAATCCAAGGAATTGATGAGAATTAAATAGCAGTCACAGCATTAGGCTTAGAGAAGAGCAGTTAAGATTTTCAGAAGCAATGAGGGGAACGTAAGCTCCTCTGTGGTCTATGAGAAATACACATTTATTTTGCAGCCTGGCAGAACCTGTATCTAACTTAAATCAAAACTGTTTTGAGCAGTTTCCTCTCCCACCTCCTCCTCCTGCAGTAAACCCCTTGCACTGCCAAAATCTGAATGCTGAACTGTTACTGTGAAGTCTTTGCTGAATTTGAACTGAGTAACGCTCCCCCTGCCCTCCCCAAATACTCTAGCTTTCGGTTCTACTAAAAGCGATGTCCTGCTGTGGTGGGGCCTGTTCTGAGCTGGAGTTGTTTGCCTCCAGTGTTGCCATCGGTGTGCGCCGTGCCACATTCCCCCAGTCCCATATGCCTTGCTTTACGGATAGTACGTGTGTGTTTCGTGTCTGTGTGTTTGTGTAAGCCTGGTTCTGCCCTTTGGGAGAGAGTTGTAAGGGACTTTCTGAAGCTCAGCTCTTGTCATGTACGCCAGCTCTGTGCAGCGCTGCTGATACCGTTTGTGTTTTCAGCACAGTGTGCTTTACATTCTCTCCTGATCAAATCTGCATGATTAAGGAGCTGGAAACCAGCCTCTGTGCTATGTTGGGAACCTCGGTGCCTCGGTTCTGGCAGGACGGCCAAAGCTCTCTGCAGCTGCAAGCTGCCCCTGTTGTGTGATTGTTTCCAGTTCTTAATGTTGTCTTTTCCAAAAATAACCTTTGGGCCCTCGCTGAACAAGTTACCACTGTTACTAGCGTAAGCTGGCCAATTGAAAAAACTTCAGTTGCCACAGAGTCCAACCTGGGACTGCACCAGAAAGTTTGTTGATTTGATTCCCTATTGCTTATACCCTCTACTCGTACTCCTTTTGTTTATTTTAGCACCCGGATAAGATTTTCACAGAGCCTAGTTGAAGGTTTGTGTTTTTGCTGCACTGCTTTTGTACATTAATGTCAGGGAGGCAGGACAAACTGACTGTTACTTGTCTTCCATGTTTTCTCTCCGATTCTGCTTCCAGAGCATTTGAGACCCAGATGACGCGACTTGAGGCAGAGTTTGTGCGTCGGGAAGCTCCACCTTCCTATGGGCAGCTGATTGCACAAGGCCTTATCCCCCCAGTTGAAGACTTCCCTGTGTACAATGCATCACAAGTATGGAGACACGAGTGCCAATGAACCTATCAGCAGCCGAACTGCTATAAATTAGATAGAATCAGTCTGGAATTATGTTCTTTCAGTAGCTGTGCTAATTATATGAAGTCATATAAAAATGTATATGTTTTACTTGGAGCCAAAGAACCACAGTTACGCATCTTGGTGCTGTGGGTAATTTTGAACACATTAAATGTGTTTGCTAGAGAACAGCAGTGAGATAAGCACATACTGTTTTGCTCTACATCAGGATAGAATGAACAGAGGCAGAGAGAAAGGTCAGAAAATAAACAGAAAAAAGGCTTTTCAAGCTGAAACTGTAAATGTGCCTGAAGTGATAAGAAAGTAAGGTCTCCAGCAGTATTTTTGGGAAATTTGTGGATTATTTTTCATTCACAAATGCATTACACTGGGAAGCCATTAAGTGATTCTTCCATTTCATTGCCGAGTTCTCAAAAATTTCCTGTGTGCTGTCAAAAGTATCCAACTGTGATACAGTTCCTGGTGTGATAAAGCTCTTGTAGTTTGTTACTCAAGTGGAGAAGTAGTTTGCCTTGGCCTTTCTTCTCTGCTGTTGTCATCAGCTTTTGAGGACCCTCTGCTATTGCTGATGATAGAGGACTCAGTGGTCTGCCGTCTGGGTCTTTGGTGATGATCTGATCCTGTAGGTGGAGCATCTTCCTGGGCAGACAAGTAGAGCTTAAACTCATAAAGGAAACACTTTAAGGGAGAGTCTTTTGGTAAAGGCAGAGCTGCCTTTGGCATTCTTAGTTCATTAGAAAATATGCATTTAACAAGGAAGTGTAGGCATCAAGTCTGAGAATTCTGATAAGGTGCAGATATTAGTGGAAAAAACAAGGTTTAGGAGAAGTCTTTTGAATGTGTGTGAAATCAGTTTGTTACATCTGTGTTACAGGCTTCTGTGCTGCAGAACATTCGAACAGCTATGAGGAGGCAGATGAGACGACACTCGTCACGACGGAGCTCGTCTCGGCGCCGCTTGGGCAGGCTCTGGAACAGACTCTTCCACAGACCTCGGGTGAGAGGACAGATCCCACTCCTGACACCTGCCCGCACTTCACAGACTACACTGGGTGATGGAATCATCAACCGTGCTGATGGGACTATTCGGAGTTCTCCACCTTCCCCCGAAGGACCTAGTTTAGAAGCAGATGCCCATGGCCAAGCTAGGGGCTTACAAGAAGCTGGATGTAGCAGTTTGCAGCCAGAGACTGAAATCACAGAGCCATCGCCTTCAACTGTCTTACCGAATACTTGCACAGCTGCACATGCAGAGCCTGAGACTGGACACGCCGATAAACCTTTAGGTGCTGAGACCTCTGGCAGTGAGCTTAAGCAGTCCAGTAAAGTGGATTCAGGAAAGGCTTTCAGAGATCCTTTGTCTGAAAGTGTTACAGAAACGATCCATGGAGGGTCAGCATCCAGGAGGACTGTCCCAGAGGACAGTAGTTTAAGTAGAAGTCATCCGCTGAGCGAAGAGCCATGTAGGTTACCCTTAAAAAAATGGGAGTCTGCTTATTCAGACAGCCCTATGAATGTTCATATCCAAGTGGATGGACAAAACCGATGTTGCCCTAACTCATACCGGGAGGAGCCTTTGGGTATTCATGCAGCTTGTTGCCATTCTGTGGAAGTGCCAATGTTAGAGTCCTCTACTCCCCTCTCTGAAATCAATACCAGTGATGATGAATCTTTACTTGTTTGCTAATAAAAATTTTTGTTTTGGCCCTGTAAATTTTGTAACTTTGTTGTTTATATGACAGTGCACTTTGATGATAGGTGGTATGTCTCTGCTCTCAACTTTGTCTCTTAAAACCAGTGTGCTTTAACCCCCTTGGGAGTACAGTACAAGACTAAATGGGACAAGTTTTTGTCTTCGTTGCTATTCCTGAAACTCCAGTGGGGCAGAAGTAGGCCAGTATGCGATGTCAGGGGCTGGGAGGGCAAGAATGTGTCACTGCAGTTTGGGGGCATCTCCATCCTCTGGTATTTCTTCTGTGCATTTATTCACTCTGCATTCAGTTCTCTCTAGTGAAACTAGAGAGAACTCTTTTGGAACCCGGGGCAGGCACTAGTCATTGTAACTATGATTACTAAACTAGAAATGATATTGTTGTCTTTTTAGGCATCATAATTTAATTAAAACTTAATAATTTTAATTACAATTACTTAGAAGGAAATAAAATCCTTTGTAGCTTCCTCTTTATAGAAATTGTTCACTTCCTTTGCTTCCTTCAGAAATGTTTTGATGGCCATATGTACCTTGAGGTGTCCACTAAAACCAAAGTTTCTGCGTAGAATGCCCAGAATGATACCAGGTGTCTTACCTGCTACAGCTTTGTACTAAGAGATTAGCTGTCTTCCGTATAAGCAGAGTGCATTGAAGCCCAGTTGCAGCAATATTTCTTTTTTGTGTTGTCATATGTTACATTCTCTTCATAGTGATGTTGTGAAGGTTGAAGAATTGTTTGCTTTCTACCTACCCTCTTTTTCCCCGCCTCCCTTCTGTTTTCAGGGACTTTTATGATTATACCACTTTGGGTGTGCCCTGAAGGATACTGAGGCTTCACAGCTCCTGTGGTTGCAGTAGGAAGCACTGAGCACTTGGTAACTGTCAGGATCAGACTTCTATTTTATTTTGAAATAAAATTTGCATCACAAGTTTGCTTGTAAATCTGCTACCTAGGTGCAGATGTATAAATAATTTTTTTTACTTTTTAGAGATTTTGGTTGGTTTTTTTTTTTTTTAAGAACTGAAATAGATCAGTGCCATTTTCAAAGCTGACACTGTGTGGATTGTACAACACTTAAAGGTAAACTGGTGCCTTTTTGGTTTTTAGGGTGCAATTAAAAGCAAGTTACTTACCTGGAAGAAGGGTGACGTTGCTTAACCAGGAGTGACTCGGTGCAGAATGACAGAACGTCATAGCTTGGCCCTGTTGCGATGGTTGGGGTGTTGGCCGGGCTCCCCCATGCTCTAACAAGAGCTCTGCTTCATTTCCCCCATGATGCAGTGATAAACTAAAATGCTTTATACAGGAATTAACAAGAAAGTTGGTGCTGCTGCTCTGTAAATATCCAAGTGCTCTGAAGCCTGTTTATTGCTGTAGGAATTCAGGTTGCCCAGAGTTATTAACTGAACTTGTAAAATTGAGGTGGACTTTGGCATCTGTGGACCTGGGCTCTGCTGTCCGCAGGACCCTCCTGGCTGTAAAGGCGAAAAGGCTTTCACAGTGAACAGTTAAGTTTACATCAAAGTGTCAAAGATTTTTTTCCTTTGGGCTGTATTTTGCCCTGGATCTTTTACTAGGACTCACTTTGGGGGAGTGCCTTAAAGAGAAGGAATAGGACTTTGGCTTTACTGAAATGTAATATGGAAGAATTAAATTGCAGTGATTTTTTTTTCTTCCTCTTCAGTTGCAAACTGGTTTCATACTGTGCATTCCAGAGGCAGAAGATTCAGATTCTTTAAGGGCACTAATAGCAGGAAGGGCTTGCGGCAAAATGCGTAACAAGTAAGAGTCATAGTTACATTAAATAAATACAGCTCACTCATTTTTTCCAAGTGCTTTTGTGATCAGAATTCATTTCATCAAAGGAAATGTGGTATTGCTTTCAGAGTATTTGTAAACGTTTTAGGTAACATTCCACGTTTGCAAGGCCATGTACTGTAGTCATTACACTGTCAGGGTTGTTGTTTTCATCTAAGGCTACAGGTTTTTAGTGTTTTGGGTTTGTTTTTTGGTTGGGTTTTTTTTTTTTTCTAAAGGTAATTTTAAATAAATAGAATTGTATGTGTAAAGCAGTTAATTATAATTGGGAGGGAGATTATATTTCAAGGTTAATATTGTGCAGATATGAAGGACCTTGGAAATAAGTGTCTGTTTAATTGTTACAGAAATGTATTTCTATAATAAAATAATGTTGATCATACTATGCCTTAAACTGTCACCACTGTAAGGCTCTTAAAGTTGAAATATGTACTTCAGAATACTGCTATATTTTGGGAACAACCCTGAACAGCTAACACTGTATTTTAAGATGTATAACTTCTTACATATATTATACATATTTTGTGTACTGATCCATTTGGTAACTTGGTGGAAATTTCATTGAGAAGGTTTTATTTTTAAGAAACTTTAAAAAATCCAGGTTAATGAAAATTTGATGCTTGAAGTGTACAGAAATGTTCACAGCCCTCACTACTGGAATTTACAGCCTTGCGTCAATGAGAGATACAAGCCTGGTGCTCTTTGTAAGCTCCGAACTTCTGCATGCCGCAAGGCAGTATTCCCTCCCAGCTCCCCGAGGACTCATTCCTCGGAGGGAAGGGTCACAAATTCACTGTTAATTTTGCAGAAGAAATCTCTGTGTCTGCACTGTGAGCACAACCAAGTGCATTGCAGTGTCTTGTAGTGTCAGTACCTGCAGAGCCCACAAGGTCTGCCTTAGTGTATGCCTGCCCTTCCTCCAGCTCTTGTAAGCATTAAGCAGTGTATCAACCATCCTCCAAGACACTTAAGGTCTGTTCCATATAAGCTGCCTCCTTGTATTCAGAACTACACCCCCCCCCCCGCCCCCCAGCCACGGGAAACTGCTGCTATGCCAGACATGTGAACAGGAAGAGCTCATTGTTACATTTCTTTGCTCAGTGGAAAATACCACACTTCAATAACTACAGAACCTAATCACCTAATAAACTTGTTTAAAATTTTGTTATTTTAATAATCTTTACAGATTTTTGTAGACAGAAAGGAAACAACGTATTTAAGATAGCTTCCTTTTCTTAAGATACAAAACTCTGCTGTCCAATTGGCCAAAAAAAACCCTCCCTAAAAAAAATCTCTGAATAGAGAAGAATACCAACACTAGTTTAAGAAGAATGGAAGCTCACAGCAGCATTAAGGGAAAAGTGACCTGCTTATGTTTTCTCTTACTGCTATTAGAGCACAGGGAGTATTTCTGTTTGAAATTCTGACACCTTTCAGCTTGTGTATGACTCTGTAATGTCCCTTATGTGTACTTTGTTTTCTTTCTCTGTTCTGTGCCTTTTTTTTATTTACATGTTGTATATTTTCATTTAGATACAACATTTTGCCATAACGTCTGTACGAGTATATGGTTCAGGTATGGCATCATGGTTGCCAGTGTCTGCTGGTTCCTAGACAATGATACTAAGCAAGTAAGATGCTGGGCATCATCGTACTTTGCTCTTGCTTTGGATCTCTTAATTTTTAATAAAATTTCACGTGCCCGGAGACAGTGGGTTTCTGACTGTCACTCTCAACACCAAAGATGGAGGGTGCCTAAATTGTACTCCCCCAGCCTGTGACTCATATTGGCATATGCCAACCCATGGCTCAGTGTGTTGACATGAACATGAAGGGAAGGTTGGGGGGGTGGGTTGGGTTTTGTTTTGGGTGGTTTTGTTTCTTTTTTTCCCCCCCTGCTTTTTCTGGTAGCTGAAGCTGTGGAGGTGCATCACTTTTTTAGATAGTACATGTGAAATCTTAGCACTAGCAATTCACTGTTGTATACACCTGCCTTTAAAATGTGTGTATGCATATACACCAAATAATAACAAAAAGAAGCCCTGAAGCGTATGACTGTTTAGGCGGTTAAAAAAAATTAAATAATTTCTGCAGTACAGTCTCTCATTCCCATCGCTGAGGGCAATGCTTGTTTTGCTGCTGCTTCCCCTCCCCAGTCAGTGCTTTGGAGGGTACCACTGGCTCTGTCCTGCTTCTTTTCAGTAGAAGGTGAAGGCTGAGTTATTTTGTGTTGACAGAGCTTTACTGTACAGACTTGGAAATCTTTATCTGTGTTGAAGAGAATTGGACAGACTTTATGGTCAACCAGATTTATCCGTAGCCATGAAGGATGGGAGAACACTGCTCGATGCAGAGGGATGATACCTCCTAACCTAGTAGACAGAGTGTTTGCTTTGCTTCGTCATGAAGTGCTGATTCAGCTGCAATGATAGTGGCACAAACCGTATCCTGAGGTAAGTGAGGCCGAAATGAATATAGCCCATAAAATGGAAATAGAGTAATAAATGATACCTGTGCATTTGCGGCAGAGTTTGTTGGCAGCCTGTGCAGTGCAATAGATATGTCTTACAACAAACTAAAGAGCTAACTCGAAAAGTCTTGAGGGAATTATGTATTTTTTTTATCAGACCCTTCTCTGAGAGGGAGAAGAACTGCTTTTGCATATTTAAGATTTTTGGTCTTTGCAGGAAACCGAGTTTTAATCTCCCAGGCAGGTGCTAGGATTTAAAACCCTGTACAAACAGTGATCCACCTGAACCTGGCAGGCAGCAAAGCTCATCTCCTGTCTCTTGTCAGTCTGTTACCCCAGCAAGCTGGTGGCTAGGCCGTCCTCCCCTTTCCACATTCCAGCTCTTGTGTTCTTGGCTACAGGGATGACATGGTGGCCAAGGCTGGTGTGAGTGGTAGAGGGTTACGTTTTATTCCTCTTCATTCTATGTGCTTCCTGCCTTCTGATGCCTTCTAGGTCTCCCTCCCTCCTATTGCTATCTCTTGCCTTAGGACTTTAAGACAAATTTCTTTTTGGCTTCTCAGCATCTCTTGGTTGCTTTCTAATCCTTTTCCTTGGATTTTTCTTTTTCATTTGTCCAAGTGCAGAAGGTTCTCGTTGAAGTTAGAGCACTGGGGAGAAGCGTCAGGACCGAGGGGGGCGGGGGGGGGGGGTTAAGAAGCCAAAGAGGCTTTG